AGTGGGGCAGAAAATTGATGTGTCGATGTGGAAAGTGCCAACTAAGGAGGTGGATCTTAAAATAACTGTTGAGGCCAAGAGGAAAATCATCCAGACGAAGTTCAAGGAAGAGATGGCGCTCATCGTGGAGGTCTCGAAACCAGGTGGTGGAACAAGCAATGATGGCAACACCGCCCGACGCTTCTTTAAGGCACAAAAGCAGTCAGCGGCCATTCTTGAAGTTGATCCACGTGTAGTTCGGCGGTTTGCAGTTATGACAGCTGTCCTTGCGTACAACGAAGAAATTGACGATGAGGCCTATGCAAAGGAAACTGCCGAACTGTGCGTACAGCTGTACGGCTGGTTCCCTATGTCCTCAACAGTACACAAAATGTTAATAGGCAACAAACGCAAAAGCGGAGAGTGGGGGAACGCGTAGCCGCGTCTTACGTGCTCCCCCACTCGCTTTTGTGATTCTTGCCTTCTTCTTCAGCCACCGCGCACCCGGAGCGTGGTACCCTATTGCACATCACCCTTCTCCGCGGCCTTGCAGGTCTCTACGACGGGCTTATCTTCATGCTGAGCCTCCACACGTCCTGCAAGTGCGAAGTGCTGGCCCTGATGCTGCAGAAGGCGGTGCGCCAGGAAGCCGACGAGATTGGCCTCCAGGACGGCGCCGAAGAGGAGAAGCGCCTGCGCCTGTGCGTGGTCTACCACCAGCATATCATCAGGTTAGGCGAACAGTGACCATCCCGACCGATGTACTCCTTATCTCTACAGTGTTGTGCCAATGGTTCTAAATCCAATCGAGCCTACTCTAATTCGATTCGGCGACACACTGGTAACGATTCGGTCACGAAAGAATCAAGATTTTAAACCAACTATAGTACATCACAGAATTCTGATGGTTAGAAGCATTTACCAAGTGTCAGCTGACATTTTGATATTACCTCGGATATTACTATTGCACATTTTTCACAAAAAGGAAATAAAATCTACAGATTAATGTGGCCCAAAAGATTTGATTCGGAGCATTTTACGAAATTAGATGACATAGTAACTGAAAAGCCCCGGTTCGCACAACTCTGCCTCTCTGTCCTTGCAGGCTGCACCGTGCTGCCGAGTCCATCTTCTGTACCGTCGCCCTGCTCCAGATGATCTACAGCCTCTTTGGCCTCGGCAACCCGGTCCTTCGTATGCTGAACAAGGTGAGTTGTCCCATCCAACTCCCGCCTGGCACATGCAACCTACTTAACATTCAACGTTCAACTTGGTCTCCACAGAAGCAGGAAGTGGCACCGCAGGACCTCGCCTTCAGTGCTGCCATGGTGGTGTTTTGCTTTAGTCAGCTTTTCACCTTCTGCTATGCCGGGGACCTCGTTGCTAACGCGGTAAGGGTAACATAGACGTTTTATCCAAAGCGGTTATTCGTACAGTCACCCAAACACCGCTATTTTTGTCCAGCGACAACCTCTTCACTGTGATCAAAATTCAAAATTCTGGCCACGGTGTTTGACGCGAATCAAATCAAACACCGTGGCCAGAATTTTGAATTTTGATCGCAATTAGGAGTTTGTCGCTGGAAACTATTAGCGTGCGGCGTTGCCACATCGTTTGGATAAAAGGTCTATTTCTCCGCTGCTACGAATTATTGTGATACTCTGTATTCTTTCAACACCTGACCCCACTTAAGCCCGCGCCGTGCCCCTAGTCGACGCGGCTGTCCTCGGCGACCTACACGTCCTTCCACCCTTCGCTGTCAGGGAAGGATACGCGGCTGGGACGCATCCTGCACTTAATCGTCCTGCGGGCGCAGAGACCCTTGTTCCTCACAGTGGGACGGTTCACCAACCTCACGCTAGAACTTTTCCAGGACGTGAGTGATGAAGCCTTTGTTTGTTATGAAACAAATAGATTTTAAAGTCGGTAGTTTCGTTCCTCGATCTACAGATAGTTTCAAGTTTAGGTGTCATCCAGCAATCGAAAGCCCATTGAAATCCAACAAATTTTGTTCCGCCGCAGTAATTTATTATCACTTACAAAGAAAAACAAAAATATTTGGTAAAAAAATTTTTGCATTATGATCGAGAATGTTTTCCGAGTGCGTTGCATTGTATTCCACACACAAAGGGCTAACCCACTTGCCCGCCTCTCTCGCAGATTATGCGGAACTCTTACACGCTCTACTCCACCGTGCTTCAGATGAGGTTGGCGACGATGACGGGGTCCAACAGTGCGGGCCACTGACGCTAGGGGAAGGGCACGCAATGGCAGGTCAACCGTTGACTTTGCTTAGAGTATTTTTTGGCTGTTGTTAAATATGTTCTTAATAAAAGTAAACGCTGTCAGTTAACTTTAACTCAATTGAGCGCGCACCTCGTTAGCCCTCCTACACTGTTCGCTGGTCTGGCCCGCACGCTGGACTGGCCCCGATGCCCGGCCCGGGACGGTTTCGCCGAGCCGCCCGTCCAGTAGTCTAAGATATCCACGTTAACAGTGGAAAAACATTAAGCATCAAGCGTAAAAGCTCAAGCAATAGAACAGCAATAGGGTACTTCACAGCTGGAGGTAAAGAAGAAAAATGCGCATGACCAGTGCGCGTGTTGTTCTTCCATTTTACTTTTACACCTCCAGCTCTGAAATACCATATCTGTAACCCATAAACAACGGCTTGCATTGGTGCGTTACTCTAAATATGCCAGTCTAGAATCAGACGAAAATGTGCAAAGCACAGAAATGTACAAAAGTACAGAACATCTACAAAGTGCATCTAGACACTAAAGGTGCACAAGGTAGACACAAATACAACAAGCAGGTCCGCCCTTCCGTCCAAAGGAGTTGCCAGCTCCGCTTCGCTGCGCCGGTAACTCCGTTCGGCAGGGGCCGAGCCTGCTTGACCTGCCGGCAGAGGTGTGCATGCGAGGCTGCAGGAAAAAGTGTCAGGATTCCCGCAAAGAAAAGAAATGTCAAGGCCTCTGTGCACATTTTTTCATCCTCAGCTATATAGACAAAAACCCCTTGTGTACACACATCCACAAAGTATACTCTCTGCTTTTTAGAAAAGGGCTTATTGGTGATGCAGTTGAGAAAGGTAATACAAAAAATTAAGACGCTACTGTGGAATTTTTCTCAGGTCCTGACATTGATGAGTCTTCTAAATCAGGACGGTACATTGAGGACAAATTCAGAATTTTTGATGGAAATCTGGAGAAAATGAAGAATTTTAGATATAGTGGACGTTTACCAGGAAGTATTGTTTCAAGTGCAAATGTTGTTTTGGGCGACTTGTTCAAATAATGAAAGAAACTGTGAAGCCTGAGGAGAATGTAGCTGCTATGAAGCCTGGTGTTAGTTTTGTATCCAACCAAAAACTTCGAACTCGAGAATCCCAACTACTTCCATTCAAAATTCCAAAAAAGGATAGAAAAAGGAAGAGACCTAATTTCAACAAAAAGATGTCACCTAAAACCAAAGAACAAGTAAAGAAGGATTTAGTTTTAAGTGATACTGAAAGTGAAGAGGATGCTGATGATCGGGTTGGTTTTCAGGCAAATTTAAATGTGGTTGATCTGGAGATAAGTCGCTGTCATCCTGCTTCAAATAATCAAAACATACTATCCAAGCAAAACGTCTGTCTCTAATGGTGCTGCTTCTCAAACAAGGTTTAATTCAAGAGATTCTTCATCATTTGTGACTCGTACGCACATTGTTGATTCCCAAGCAAATCCAAGCTTGAGTTATTTGGATAAAAACCATAATGCTACTGAACGATAATTTTCCCTGATGATAATAAGAATTTGAGTACTGGGCCAACATTCACTTCTTCCGTTCAATATTAAAAAAAAAAACAAAACAACAAAACTGACAGATTTTTATTGCCTTCACTCAAATAATTTATTATTATTCTGCTAATAACTTTTTAGTAGTGAAGTAGTGCATTTTACAAACTCAGATTTTACTTTTAACTGCTAGCTAATATTTCTTGAATATGTTCTTCTGTGTACCTTACTTTATGTACTTTTTATGGTTCAAATTATGCTATGTTTGCATATAATCCCAAAGAGGAGCGGTACGTGGATGCCATGTGGTTGAAATAACGTGGATTATAGTAGCTGGTAGTAATTGTTATATATGTGGTGTTGTTGTACAGGTTATGGTGTACAGGTGTACAGGTGGTATGTAACATCCTGATTCAATTTTACCTCAGTGTTTTGGGGTTTATTATACATTCATTATAGTTCTTATGATCAAGATTTGTTTTGTCTTCTTATATTAATACTGGGTGTCAAATTTTAGTTGTAAGGCAGGATGTATTGAACCTGTGTAAGTTTTCTCTCAACTGTATGATTCCGAATACGCTAAAACCAGGTAGATGGACGCTAGACCACGTCTCGCGTAACAGGCTTCGCTGCGACGCGCCTGGCATACATCTACCTAGGCCTGCGGCGCTGACACCCGAGTCGGGAAGCGCAAAAATGTACACAAAGATACGGGCCTTCGCCCCGTCAACTTCCCGTCACTTCGAGTAAGAATGCAGGGTTGAAAATTTTTTCGCTTATTTTCGTCAAAAACTCCCTGTGGCGCCTAAATGGTTAAAGATAGAGCCAAACGGACGACATTTCTGCCCAGAGGGCTCTACTTTGATGAGTTACCCCTTCGGAATCTGTAAAGAAATATTTTTAACAAGCAGGCCCGCCCTTCCGCCAAACGAAGTTGCCAGCTTCGCTTCGCTGCGCCGGCAACT